CACACACACACACACACACACACACACACACACACACACACACACACACACATGACTATCGTGATTCGAGTCTACACCACCCCTCGTACCCTGCAATCGCGCGCGTACGTTCTCCAATGTCCCGACATCCTCTCTCTTTCTCTCTCTCTCTCTCTCTCTCTCTCTCGCTTTCTTTGTCTGTCTTATTTCCACCCTGTCTCCTTTCTCCCCTATGCTGCCTATGGATACTCTCCCTGTAACAAATCCCCACTTCCAACCCCCAGCGGCAATAGTCGGCTCGTGCGCCCTACACACCGAGTCGAATCGGGAGCATTTCTATCCCCTACCTAACAGTCGGGCAACCCCACCCTGGTCGCGGGGCGGGGGACCACCCTCTATCCCTAAACGGGTATGACGGGGGCGCGCGCATATCGTAGTCGTCGCTATACTCATCCCCTCCCCGGATTCCCTCATCCCCATCACGAGAGCCTCGGTGCTTCGCGTCTCTTTATCCTTGGGAACTTTCTCCCCCCGTTCTCCACTTCCTCGCCACTTCGTTCTGCCGATCTCACCGCCGAATCCCGCACTCTCGACATATCGAATGCTACGTCACAGTGAGGAGATATACGGCTATTTCGCAAAGTGGTTAAATGCACTGCCAGATTACGGGGGGGGTGGAGGACGGGCGGTCCTGGCGCCCGGTGTCGCCGTCGACTCGGCTGCGATATCGGCTACAGAATCGTAGAATTCCATCGTAGAATTCCGTCCGCATGGCGAGCGAAATTCGTGGTCTCTCCTAGGATCCCGTATTCCGGTCGCATACTCGGTGCTAAACGCGTGCTTGCCCAATTCTCATGCCGTACAAATAAGCGACGCTTCCTCGGGACATCGGAAGTTTAAATTTTAACGATGGTTCAATTTCTCTTTCTCTCTTTAAGTTCAATGTTTAGAAAAAAACAAAAGAGTTCGTTGAACTGTTGGAGGGAATTCACTCTCTTGATCTGTTAAAAGCCGAAAGATATAATATTTTCCGTGATGTGTGAATTTACGGAAGAATTTCACAGAGAGAGAGAAATATTTTATTCATTATCATTCATCATAATTGAAAACATCCCCATTCTTTCGTATCTCCAGACTTGGGTAACACATCCCCAATCTGGGGTTAACGGACGTCCCGGGGATCGGTCCTAAAGCCCACACACTCCGATGGCCACGCTTAGTGCGCTAAATGTGGCGGCGAAGATAGAAGTAGAGGAATACGAGTCAGGATATTTCTCGTTTCTTTATACCACCCGTTTTCTTCCACATAGCATCCTTGTATCCTTCTCCACCGCTATCGTCGCATTGTCGTCGCTTATTTATTCGAGTCGGAGGGATGTGTATGGCATACGGACTCCCTCGACCGTACGAATCTCTCTTTCTCTTTTTCTCCCCCCCACCCTTGCTCTTTTCTCCCTCGGAGTCTCCAGAGTCTCGACCCTGCAAACGACTCGTGGAAAAATAATTCAGAAAATGAGAGAGCCACGACCATAGAAAGATGGGATTCGGCTGAGGAGTGAGAGAGGAGGGCGGGAAAAAGAGGAACGGCTGGATTTAGCTATGCGGCGAGAAGAATGACACGTTAGCGGTGGTGGAGACGAGATGGAGAAGTGATTCGTAGTATGTCGTGTACAAATTCTCCCTGAAGGACCTCTTAGACCTAATTGGCCGTCCAAATCGATATCTGCCCGTCCGTTGTCGACAAAATTGCGACGTGTTTTTTCTCTCTCTCTCTCTCTCTCTCTCTCTCTCTCTCTCTCTCTCACCCTTCCTCCCCCCCCCTTACTCTCTCTTCTTCTCTGTTTCAAGAAAAAAGAGAAGGGATGATTCAAAGTGACGAGAAAATAAATCTACACAATCGGTCCAAAAGAGGGTCGTAGAATTGTGTTTTCTTTCGTCATTTCATTTTGTATGCTTTATAAAAATAGAATCGATCTGTTGTTTTGTTTGTTTTAAAAATATCGGTAAAATTGATATAAATGATTTGAATCGCCAGCCAGAGAGCGTAGCTGGAGATGGGTATGCAAAAATGTAGGTGTTCTTCTTGAAACTTGATCGATAGGAAAAATAAATAGATAAAATAAAAACGTTAACCGTATTCTTTGATAATACGTTTTTAATTAATTAGTGTAATGAATTATTCAGTAATTTAACAGAGAAAATCTTAAAGCAGCATACACCTATATAAATGGATCGGACTTGGATAAGATTCAATGAAAATTGTCACCACCATTCTAGATGATGTAAAAGCAAATTCCGTTTTCGCCATTTTTTCCTGGCTTCGCAACAATATGAGAAAAAGAAATATATAAATACTACAAATCTGCGATTCATTTGCTTGACTAATCGGAAAAAAGAATTTCACTAATTGACCAATAAAAATACTTCGAAACATTTTTAGCATCAATGCTCATTTCTATGTAGATTAACTTTAATCTTGGTTTAACTTACTTTTCTAGTTCTAAAAATTAGAAAAAGATAAAGAATAAATTAAACCTATATTAAAGTTAATTCATATTGATAGAAATGAACACAAGTAGACCCACAGTCCTAATCGCATATGATATTTTTTCATGTAATAATAACCCAGACAGTGCGTACTGAATATTTTATGATAAATATTCATAAATTTTATTATCTATTTCTATAAATATTATATTAACATTTTGTACCTATTTCATATAAAACTTTATTCAAGATGTTATTAAAATATAAAATAAATGTTTTATATATTGTCAATAATATTTATGTTAAATATAAATAAATTATATTTCTAAATTTTTTTATTTGAATTATATGTCTTTTTAAATATTTTTCGTAATATTTTTTTTACTACAATATTTACGATAAACATTTTATAATATTTATAAAAAATATTTATAATCAGTGCAATTTAAAATCACAAACATATTTACAAAATGTTCAAAATAAATCTTACAATATATTTTGTAAATATTTCATAAATATTATACGCTATCTGGGGAATCATTCATTAAATAATTTTCTGTAAATAAAACTGAAATAAAATTGGAGTAACAAATAAAAATGAGACGCGGAGAAATAAATATGGTTAGAGAAT